CTAATTCACAAACTCAAAATAAAAACAAATATGGCAAACAGCTGTTTACCTTGGTGCACAAATTTTGGTGAAAAGCAATACCATTATTATGCCTGTCTACATTCTTCAGCCATCAGAGGTGATGTATATCAATAAAGACAGAGAAAAGCATGAGAAAGATGTTATCTGGTGCAAATTATAAGACCTTTAAACAACTTCAAATGCTGCTTATATGCCTTTGTTTCTTGCATGTAGAACGTTCGACTCTCCATGATTGCACATGAATCTGGAAGTTTAAATAGCAGGCTGGGTGAGCCCAGTCCTTCTGTTTCTTCTATAGAATCCAAAATATATATATATTTATATATATGAACAGTTACATGTTCTTCTCTCAAATGTTTCCCAAATGCATTCCAGCCAGATGCTAATGACATAGACCTGCTTCAAGTAATGATATGCCTAACAAAAATCTTGCATATGTACATCACCACCCCCGACATTTCCTTGTTCTGACCAGCACAAACAGATGCAAGAAAATGCTATAAACTAGTCTTTCAGACTAATCATAATTCTGATTTATCTTCTAGAAGAAATGAGGAAATGCATCGAGAACTGGCATGTTTCTATTAGCCTCCATTGTATACAATGGAAGATTTTAGTTGCCTGACTTCAAAAAATTACAAAATTACTTCTTGATGTTGCTATTATACTGAGACAGTGGGAGCAGCAACAGGAGACCTTAGACTGATAAAAAATTTCATGCAAAACCAAAAAGGCCAGTTAAGAAGGGAGGGAGGGAAGGAACTTGTTCAACTTGACCTCTGAAAGTGCCTCTACAAACTTAATGGCTAGTACTGGTGGTGATGTTCAGGAATCATTTTCAGTGATAAAACCTAAGATGACAGTGAAGCAGCAGAACCAAAAAAAAAAAAATTATTCTCGTCCGCTTGCAGAGTAGGAAAACTGAGGGAAATGTGGCCGCCTCTCATTGTCCATGCAGTCCATACCATCCTCATCATCTGTGGAAGGAGAAAGTTTAATATTTTAATTTATTTACAACATTATTTTATTTTCTAATTGACTGTTAAATAACATTATTTCAGTGACTGCTGTATAAAAAAGTTTAAACATAAGTAAAACAAAATAAAAACTATGCAGTTTATATAGGCTTGTGCATACCAGGAGAAATGACACTGGTTTTGAGGAGGACTTTTCTTATGTAAGTATACATAATTTACTTCCTACATATGTATGTATTACCTCAGAATAAAACCTGAACATTCCAACCACCTTGTAGTTGGAATGTATGCCTACAACAGTAATTATAGTGCAAAATAGAACAAATGTAAAAAGAATGATAACTGCATACACATTTCACATATTGTTAATTTTCTAAATATAATGCAAACTTGAAACTTGATGGGCTGTACACTAAATTCTTAAATTTTTATATTTTATTTATATATATATATATATAAAAGTTACCCTTAGGCTCCAATTGAAATTGTTCTCAATGACATACTTACGTTGTCATATATTCTATGCAAAGAAGCTAAAGTTAATGCAAATTTAGGTAATCAAGTACTCATAAGTAAATAAATGTTGAGGTAACAATGAATACATAATTGTTCCTATATTTTCTAACATGATCTCTTTTATTTTTAAGTTTAAAGTAGCACAATATATATATTTTAATATTGCCATACTTAAGTTACAGGATGTATTTAAAATAATCAGACAGATTTTTAAATCTCAAAGAAATTTACAAACGTTTGAAGAAAAATTGGTTCTTCAACCTATAGTTATAATTTTAAAGTACAGATTCTTTTGTTGAGGGTAGTCACTTTATGCCACGTCACTATGTAATCTATCCCTAAAATTGATTTACCCATCCTGGGGAGGATCACTCCAAATAAAGATGACAACTAATGTAGGAATGCTTACATCACACACTCTGACTCTGCTGCCAGTGTAGCAGAGAAAAAGAAGTGAGTCTATACAAAAGGGGGCTTGGTTCAGATCCCGGAGTTACATGCTGATCCTGTGCTGCTTTCTGGGTGCTGAGGACACTGCAATTCAGCAAAAATGCTAGCAGTCTCCAGGCTCCTTTAACATCATGCAGGAGAATTAGTAAAATACAAGTAAGTTTTTAATCAACTAACCACTCTCCTGAATTGTGCTCTGTGCAGCTGAATTTCAATTTTTTTAAAAACAAAAAAAGTTCCATTTCAATTGAGTTAAATAAACATAAGTGTTTAAAAATGCTGGGTCACATCAAACTATGTATTGTCTTAAAACTGAGAATCTTAAATTTGGAACTGTCTCAAACTTCAGGCCACTTAACTCAAAACATTCATGACACTAATGATCAACACAAAATTAGATTAAAAGCTGAAGTACTTTATAGTGCCCAAACTGTCTTTTGTCATGCTTTATCCGGACAAAGAAAGAGTCATTTTCTTCTCAAGAGAAGTTCATAACTTCAAAATACTCAACCCATTTCTCTAAACTGAGCTAAATTTAAATAAAATCGGATCTTTTTTTTTAAAGTTATTCATATCAATACATGGAGCAGTCGGGGAGGGGTCCATTTTAAAAAAATATGGAGAACTCAAAAACAGCTAAACAGGCTCTGTTAAAAATTTACTTCTAAAAATAACCCCAGTTCCAGACTGGCATACCAAACCCAGAAAATCTGAGTAGAAGAAGAATGCATTTAAGAAAGTTATAAGCTACCAGAAAAAGGGGGCCGAACTAAAGGAACTCAACCTTAATATATTGAGTATGCTACCTTCATATGCAATAATTATATACCTAGTTTTTTTATTATGCAAAATGCAATGACAGTACCTTTCTAAAGAGGAAATATTTAAAAAATATTGACCACTAGAGTTTGGAATATTGTTTTCCATGTGATAACTTTGTTTTCCTAAATACAAATTAGAATGATCAGTTGTTGATTTTTAGGTGTTTATCTAAACATGGTAAATGCAGCGTGCAGAAAGAGTGAAATGTGCCCAAATGCAGAAGGTCTGCACAAGGTGCAATACACCACTTAAATCTTAATTAATTGAAGGGCTTTTATGAGTGGAGCCCAGCATCAGGACTAGGGACTAGAATGAATTTCATCTAAAACAAAACAAAAAAGATCAGGCTATCTGTTCTTCTGTGGCAATTCGTGCGCTTTTCTGGCCTTGCTATAGCAAGGTATTTTTAAGTATGTGCCTAGGGTTGTCATATGGTTTAACCAAAAATACCCAAACCCCCCTTCCCCCCCCCCCCCAAAAAAAACCACCAGGGAAAAAATTCTGTTGACCAAAGTCGTTGGGGGGGGAAAAAAGGGAGGGGGGCCTTCCGAGAATTATTGAGCCAAAAAAATTTTTTTGTTTAAATAGAACAGCATTAAAACAGCATAGACACTTTCAGTGCATGCAGAGCAAGAATAGGGATAGGAACAGGGGAGCGGTTGAGCACTAAGACCCAGGGACAGCATTGCTTCTGTTACCCACCAGCTCTGTGATTCTTGGGGAACCAGAACATGGTCACCTGTCAGCCTTGTGCTCTTGGGGAGTCAGGGAGTGACATTCATGGAAACCATTCCCCTCCCTCAGGCCTCTGCTAGAATCAAAGACAAAGCAATGAAAAGGCCGGGGACGACACACCTAAACTGCTTCAGACAAGGGTGATATAATTAAGGAAACACCCCAGCCTCATTTGCATTAAAGATGGAACAGAGGGACATCTCATTAGCATACAGAATGGAGAGCAGCTCTTTCAAGGCAGGAACCGCACTGAACTATGGGACACCGAAAGCAGAGAAGCACTGCCTGATGGGAAATCCCTGCTCCAGATGCTAATGAACCTAGGCCTGCTCACACCCAAATTAGTCATTATCAGACCAATTCTAGTAACGATCCTATTGACATCCAAAATACTGAAACTGCCTAGTTGCATTGTGAGCTCGTTCAAGGAACATCACCCATAACCAGGGGTGATCAGTCTCTATTGTCTCTCCTCTTTCTCTTTGAACTATCCGTATAAAAACTCCTATCCTTGTCCCAAGAAAACTGTTCTGATACCTGGACTTAAACTGCATCAGTTCCATTGAGACTTCTTCATCTCCTGTCTGATCGTGCTGGGGGCTCTGTCCTGCTTTTCTCCTGCCCTCTGGACCCCCGGCTACCATCATCATCTGGGAACCCCGATCAGTGCAAGCTCCGTGGAGTGGTGAGGTCTCTCTCTCTCTTTCTCTCTCTCCACGACCCTGCCCTGTGTAAACTGTTATATGGTTACCTAACATGTGTAATCAGCTTCAATTTAGATTTAATATTGTAACTGTTAGATTTAATATTATTCACTACTCAGAAATAAATCCCTTTCATTGTTAAACTGGTTGCTTCTCTCTCTTGCTTTCTCTTTTGCTCACTCTTCCTTAAGGGGTGTTGTTTTGGCTTCCCCATTCGCTCTGCAACAACACTTCTTGTACCCAAGTAAAAGATCCCTGTAGTGCCTAAAATTCTGTGGGGTTTGCTCATCGTGTGGTTTACCAGTGAATGACTCTGGTGTGAAAGTGGGGATGGGGGTGCTGAACCTGGGGGCTTATGAGGATGGCAGCTTAAAGTGCTGTTTAATCCAGCCCACGGAGTCCAAAGGCACATGAGGGTGCAGTGTGGCATTGCTGTGAAACCCAGCCAGCTGAGTCCAGGGACATATGAGGGGGTCAGCTTGTGAGTGCTGAGTACCCAGTCCTCTCAGACATGCTCTGTTAGTGGGTGTGAGTGTCTGTGTGTGTTGCCAAGGTGGTAGGAACCCCATCCTGAGGAACCTAGTTCCTGCAGGAGAGCTCCAGTGGGAGTGGGAATTGGCAGCAGGGATAATTCAGCTCCATATGAGAGCCCAAGTAAGCACCAACAGCACACTGATAGAACTGTTAACCTTCCCCCAGTCCCATAAGGTTAACCCTGATAAATGAGCATACCCCAGAGTATTGGGCAAATCTGGTAACACTTCCCCTTGGTTTTTAAGCTTTTTGCCAGTGGCCATTTTGTTTTCTTGATCAAGCCGGAATGCAGCTTCCCTGCGGAACCAGGTAAGCAAGGAGTCTGGGGAGGCCAGGATCTGGGCCCAGTTGCTGAGTGGTAGGTTGCCAAGTGTCCAGTATTTTCACCTCCTGGCAGGGGGAAAAAAACACAGAAAATACTGGACATTTTAGGTGTCCAGTATTTTCGGAATTTTTTTTTTTTTTTCACCAGAGGGGAGGAGAAAATACCAGATTGTCCGGGTCAATACCGGACACCTGGCAACCCTATATGTGCCCATCCTATTCAAACATGCGAGTGGTTTCACTGGAATCAATGAGAGTATACATATATGCTTGAAATGTGCTTAAGTACTTTGCTGAATTGAGATCTTTATTAGCAAACAAACAAGATGCTTACAAATTGGCATTTGCCTCATGACATCTTGTGATATTCAGAACTTCTTAGGTGGTTTCACATTAAGTTCCACTAAAACATGTGAGACTGCTTTCCCCATTAGAACAGAGTAGCTTATTTCAGATCACTCTTTAGATTGTATGTACACATGAATAATCTATCTTTTCATCTATAATCATAAAGCACTGTGCAGGCTTACTTACATTTTTCAGGCGGTGTTATTGTAATAGTTTGAGCTGTAAATTCCTCATCAAAATATCTGGTGTCTGTCTCAGATGTCACTTGAGGTTTAAAAGGAGGTACAAGCTGATGGAAACAAACAAGAAAAATTATGTTAATATACCTGAAAGTTAACCAAAATTATTGTCAGGAGTAGACATGCCTACCATCAGTCTGGCTTTGAGTGCAGGGAATTGGATTAAAAGACCTACAGAAGGTTCTTCCAGTCCTACACTTTGCTGATTCTAGAAGGATCTCATTAGCTCAGTGGTTAGACCAAAAGACTTGTAACAGGAGGATCATGGATTGAATGACAGCTGAGTCCCTGACAGTTAGTATGACAGGAAAGTCTAGATTTTTGTGTGTCAGAGATGCTAGTACAGGCAGTCCCCGAGTTACGCGGATCCGACTTACGTCGGATCTGCAGTTACAAACGGGGCCCTCCCTCTCCCTGGTCTCCAGCAGACCAGGGAGAGGAAGCAAAGCGGCGGAACACGCGGGCAGCGGACAGCCCAGACACGTCTGGGCTGTCCACTGCCCGCGTGCTCCGCTGCTTTGCTTCCTCTCCCTGGTCTGCTAGAGACCAGGGAGACGGGCCCCGTTCGTAACTGCGGGTCTGACGTAAGT